ACGACACTGAACGAGGAGATGAATATTTCCCCTCGCCCAAATTCCACCTAATGAACTTTGATTTAAAATATCACTGCTTTTTTTTGGACTTTAATGATCAACTATGCTTTCACTCTATCCTCCATTTCATGAGAGCGCTTAGAGGGGAGTTGAAACGATCTCGCAAACTGCCTCTTTTATTCACAGTATGACAGTATTTGTTTCTGTATCTCATCCACTAATTCGGTTGGGATGGAGCTGAATGCGAGGCAGAATTGAGGAGGGAAGGTTAAATGAACATGTCCACAGCCACAAGCTTCAATAGAAGCGCTTCCCAAAATGGAAAGTGGACTATAACGCAACCACTCACTCTGTAGCCTTGACTAATCAAATGGTAAGAGGGAACGTCACGCCCCCTGACTGCGACACAGACATGCGTTTGCGCAAAAAAACATCAGATATGGGGCTTTACTGACGTTTGGGACTTTTTGCTCACCACTTTAGTGCGACATTGAAGCGAATATTTATCATCTATCTTTAAAAATAAACATATTGGCTTACTTCACAGTCCTCAAGATGCCATGGCCAACAGATCCTCGGTTTGCAAGCTACTTCCTGCCCGGCTATCCAGCCGCTCTCGCTGCTGTTATGGCTGCAATGCGCTCCTCTGCTTCTCCGGTTTGTGGCTTCTCTGCCACTGGCGGAGCTGCTGCTGCCACTGGTTGTCATAATGACTACAGTCCAGGCGCACCCGGGGGTGGCTTTCTCAGTGGTCTGGCCTCTTCCAGCACTTCACCCACTGCCAGTGCTCCACCGCCCTCAAACTCCACCTTTTACACTCCACCATGGGAACCACAGGGCGCCATGGCCACCAACGCATCGGCTTTTGGCTCACCAACAGCTACTGGCGGCAGTGTTGATGGATATGTGGGTGCCGCTGGAGGCGGGGGCGGAGGCGGAGGAGGAGGAGGGGGAAGCGCGTGTCAACGTGACTCCTCAATCGATGACCGTGGTCAGGCAGCATTCGTGAGTTTGACAGATTAGATTTCCCACTTCTTATAAAGTAAAGTAAAACGAGCACACATTTTATTGCACTTTTAAAATGGAATACCACCATCCATTCATTTGGAGGGTTTTAGTGAATCTGCAGAGTTTAAAAAATGATGTTTTCATCACTGCAAACTCACCACTAAGGAGGGCTTTGCATTGAAACCTCTAATTGGACCAGTTAAAGCCATTAATTTAAGATTTGCATAACTGTGATGGACTGAGAAATGCAACATTAGTGGCAGTGTTACGATTAATGCTTACATAGTTAGTCGTGAAATGTCATTTTACGTTGTACGCACACATCCACACATGCCTCCATTGTTGAAGTCTGGAGGGCTTTCAATTGTCTCCGGAATAATGCCTCCACCACTACTATGATTGATGCGATGGCACAAAGAGGAGCTGAAAGCGGACACAAAAAAGTTTTCCTCTCTCAACCATTTTAAACAGCATTACCAACTTTAAATAAACAAATTTTTGTGGAATTCTTTTCGATGTCACCCACGAGGTGTCAACACATCGCATCTCTAATAGTAGACTTGCCTGAGGAGCATCTTTGGGAAGCATCATTGATGCATCTGACATTTGACACCTTTCTATTCCCTATGTGCTCAAAGCAGTCAAGAATGGCAGTTTGTTAATAAGGCAGGAATTTGTGTTTCCCACTTCAACGAACTCCGAAGGTGTACACCACACTGTTAGTTTCAATCGTTTCGAGCACCTCATCACAATGTCACACGAGTACACACCCTTGTCATTAATTAGAGCCTCAGGCAATCTTTTTCACGCCTTCCACTACCACTGACAGAGCTTGGATTGGAAATGCTCTTCTAGGAGTTGCCTATGTGTTTGGGGATGAATTTCTTCCCTCTTTTTCCCACCCTACTGACCTACTTAATTTTCTCAAACCATTTTTTAAAAACCTCCTAATTGCTCCTATGCCTCTTCATGCAATTCGGTCATTCGTGTCTCCATTGCCTCCATAAATTCGACTTCAGTGTCGTTTTTGCCATGAGGAGGGACTTGCACGAGCTAATCCTGATACCTGTCGAAATAACTTATTTTGTTGGGGTGGCGAGAAGACGCGACTGAGGAGGAAAGGATGCATGTAATGAGGATTTATGGAAGCACCTGCCTTCTATCATTTGAGACTGGTTTGAAGTAATAAATATTAATAGTGATATCTTTGGAACAAATTGGCGTGGCGTGATGTTGTTGCGCCAGACTGGTAACAACACCTAAAAAGTCAACGTCTTTGCAACGTGATTAACCCCTCCCTCCCTCCCTCCCTTCCTCCTTCTCTCTCTCTCTCTCTCCCTTCCATCCTGACGATTTTTAACTGGCTTGACTCGGGGGTCCATTTGATTCCCCTCCGCAGTTCTGTACAGACAACTCATAGCAGACAAACGATGCCTTGGAAAGAAAAAGGGAAAAAATTAGTTGATACGAATGTCTAAAGTGTTTAGGAGTGGGGCACATTTATGGCCTCGGCAACGATTTACCCTTTTTTTCATTCACTTATCACTTAAGTGTCTCGCTATCGAGGATAGTATGTAATCTCTGACTGATTCACCTAGTTTAGCTTTAGGACACGAATGCATTCACCTTCCAAATGCTTTTTGGTAGGTTGTATGGACAAGTGTAAAAAAAAAATTATAAGGTAGAATCGCCACACATATTCGTAGGAAGTGAGAACGTGGTGGTAAATTCTGATTACCGTATCGCCTCCTCCTCCTCCTCCTCCTCCTTCTCCTTTTCTTCCGCATCTTTTCACACTTCTGCACTTCTCCCCGTAGCGCGCAGGCATTCACCATCATACCGCACTAAGGAGCTTGTCGCATCCCACACTGACCTCTCAATTATTCATGCTCATCGGAGGAGGGCTGAGGAAACACGAAAACAACATGCCCACATCTCGTGCCAATCTCGAGTTGTTTCCCTATCTCGTACTCCTCTTCCTTCCCTCTCACTTCTTCGTCCTCCCCCTTCTATTCCCGCTGGGGGCTTTCGCGCCACACGAAGACTCTTGGTGGTGCGACGGTGGGACTAGGTGGGCAGTTTTTTTTTTTGGCAAGTCGAGTTTGTGTAACTGGTTGAGGCTTTTGCATTGACCTCGCAGTTGTATGTGCATCCACACCACGAAAGTGGCTTCATTATTGCTTAATATTTTATTAGACTCGAATGCACGCACTCAAACTCCTTGCACCTCTTGTTTTGCTCCTCTTTCACCTTACAACTTGTTTACTCCTCACAGTGTGTCTGTGCCATCGTGTCACCTCGGCCCAAAAGTTAACAACAATTATGAATTTTTTAGTTGAGAGACGGATTTGCTAGTTCAATGCTTACGCAGTCATCATTAACACACAGTTGTGGTAAGGAGGTCTTTTATTATGCAAAGTAAATTTCTTCAGACAATGACATTCTGTGCAGAAATCACTTTTCTGTAGCCTTGTACTTATCTCTGCTCCCATAAATTA